TATATCCATCACATTAGTGTAGATGTATCACCCTTAAAAGTAAAGGAAATAACTACATGATTTTAATTAGTTTAGTTATGACATATTTTTAGATTATATATTTAATATTTTAAATTCAGCGAAATAAATAAAATATATTAAGTATTATTAATGTATGGAAGGGTCAAGGGACTATATTTTAGTGTACCATGCCTCCATGTCCGTATATGACCGGAGGACGCAAATGCAATGATGCAATGTTGTTGTTTAAAGCTGTATTTTAGATTCTGAGTGGAGCGATTAGTTTATTAATTTTACAATTTTTTTTTTTGTATCTGTCCAACTGTTTGGGGCAATAAAACCATAGAACAATAGCTTAATAACCAGAATGAAACAAAATATACAAGTACATATTTTAAGTCTTTGTTCGTCTTGGGCGATTGTCATTTACCATAGGTTATTTATAATTATAACCTAATGTTTTTTTTTTTTTTTTTTGTGTGTATGTCTGTCACCATCTGTAACTGTTTGGAACAGTAACTTCGATTTTCTTCAACAGTATTTTGTTCGATCAGAAAGTAAATCTAGTTGGTGCATACAAGAGATATTTTTGTATCAGTGACGGCTGCCTAGGAACCTCACGGTATATTAATTCTATGTGCACAAGTTACACACACGAACACACATAAAATAATACAAATAATTTATAAGACTAAAGTGAGACCCATCAGACTGACTTTGGGCACTGAACAAGTTACAAGAATAAAAATGTTATGAAAGTATTAACTATAAATTAATATACTATAATTATTATGGCATAAGGAGAATGGATATTTTAAAGGTGACTTTATTAGGTATAGAAAGAGAAATGTATTTGTCGGTCTATAATGTAAAATATTAATGTTATAATTGGAAATTGATTATTTAAATAATAACATACCCATAAGTTGCAAAATTGGTATAAGCCTTCATGAAAAAATGACTCATATTACGATCATTGTCAGTCCATTTTCTTTTATCCACAACTGGAATACGAGGGAAAAACTCTAAAAAAATAACATAATAAAATTAATATTTAAGAAGGCTTAAAGAGGTATAATATTATAAATAAAAACAACATACCACTATCCATAAAAGGTGCACCTGTCAAGAAGTAATATTCCGTGTCGTGTGAATACAGTCTCCATTCAGGTAAGGGAATACTCGTTACAGTGGTATTCAAAACATACATATAGACTGGAACATCTTCAGCTACAAGTAATTTGGACATTTCATCATGTGGAGCAACAAACAAAAAATCTGACAACATCTGAAAATAAAAAAAATAATATTTTAAATTACTTAAAATGTATTACTCATTATTTAATTTGAAGCGAGCTAAAATAATCATACATTTATATACTGTGTTCTTATTGAATCTGGATTAATTGGATCAGGCCAATATGTATATAAGTATTTTATAGCTTGGTAAACTCCAGATGGATTTAATGTATAATTATATTGAAGAACAAATTCTTTAACTTTGTTGTTGAAGAACTCTTCAGTTACTGTATATGTTTTATTATTATCTGTTAATTAAAATGGTAGTGTTATTGTTAAATAATGATTCATAATACATAAATAATTAAGTTTTATAATCTTACATAATATGTATGCTGCTTCTTGAGTGGTGACACCACTCAAGTATCTAATATCCTTGTTAAAGTGACCTGACTTAATAGCAGTTTTTACTGATTCGTTAATAAAATGCCAATCTGACTGTTGCCAACCATCATACCAATCACTTTTAGGCACCAAAAATTCATTGTCAATAATTGGTCCCCAAGCATTAAAACCAATTTGAGGCTAAATAAATAGAATAAAAACAATTTCAAATTTATTTATTTAAAAACATTTTTTGTTTAATATATTACTTTAAAATCTGATCCGAGTTCCAAAAAACTCCTACCGCGTTTCAGACAATCAACAATTTTCCACGTAGATTCAGTGCTGCAGCCAATGTGAGCTGCAAATACTTTAGTTGTATTTAAAGCCCTCCATCTATCTTTTATAAGTGCCCAATCTGCAAGAGCTGAACCACTCTATAATATAAAGTACATATTAAAATTAATATAAACTTTAACCACAAAAATAAATCTAATACAAAAAAATTACAAAATCTATTATGACTAATAACTAAGTATGAATGAAAAATATTATTTATTTATTGATATATTAAGCAGGATTCCATATAAGCCATTACATATGACTCAAATAAATTGTTTTTTTTTTTATGACCCAATTTAGTTATTAGTATAATGTTCTATATATCAATAACTTATGAGTAATGATAAAAAAAATACTGCAATCAAATAAATTCCGTTTTTTTTGTAATACCTGAGCCCTATTAATAAATTTTAAAAAATTACTTTATATTATAGGTAATATTCACTATTCAGTATACACATGACACATCTAATAGTAATATTATACTATTATTATATTTCTTTGCTAGTTTGTAAGTAATTAAATAAGATTGAATTAACACATTTTGTTACCTGGGCAATAACTTTGGATACCATAAAACTAGTTTTAGGATTAACCATTAACAATCCTGCTGATGCAGCACCTGCATCCGGTCCAAATAAAGTGATTGATTTACGATCACCATTGAAAAACTCAATGTTGTCATAAACCCAACGTAGAGCCATAGCTTGGTCCATAAGCCCATAATTACCAGGGGAATTGTCATCACACGTGCTCAGAAATCCTTCAAAATTAAAATATTAATTCAACGATTTTAAAAATTGATTTTTTTAATTACCTAAGGCTCCCAATCTATAATTGATAGCTACAACAACAACGTTATAAAATGCGGCCATCATATGTCCATGAAAAGAATTTGATGATCCATGTACAAAGTCACCTCCGTGTATGTAAAACATGACTGGATACGGTTTAGCTGGTGCCACACCCGTCTGTGTAACCATACAATTTAAAAAGACCAATACATTTTATATTAAATATTGAACAATTTATTGCAATAAATAATAACTGAATATTTTGTTTACCGATGGCATAAATATATTTAAAAATAAACAGTCTTCATCTACTTTAGGCACGCCTTTGGTAATACCAGTGTAAATAGCTGGCTGTGGGCATGCAGATCCAAAGTCAACAGCTTGATGTAACTGCCAACCTTTATGGGGTCGTGGTGGCTAAACAATAGTATTTATATAAGTATACTATAAATAATTTTACTTCATAAGTACAAGACAATTGGAAATAAAACATACACGAAATCTTCCTTCATTAATTGGTGGAGCTGCATATGGTATGCCTAAGAACACAGCTACTTCGGCTTGTTTTCGCTCAACAGGTGTTTGAAATGGTCTATAACCGTTCTCAGGTAGAGGGTTGTCATAAAGATGCACTTTAAATCCCTGAATTTGACCATATTTTGTGGATACAAATACGTCTCTATCTAATTGTTTTGAATCGGTTCTCTCTCTGCCTTGTAAATCTGGTCGCCACCGACCCAGTATCCCAGGGAGCAATAACATATCGTCACCCTAAAATCAATAATTAATCAGTTAGTCTGTCGAAGTAATAGCAGAACTTCAGTAAAACATCAATACATGTAAGGTAAATTTATTAAGTACAAAATCATGGTTGACACTCAACACTCACAGGATAATTTTGCCCATTAGGTCGATACGATGGGGTTCCAGGACGACCCGGTTGATTGTACGGCAGCCGATTCTGGTAGTTGTTCTGTTGGCCATATTGGTCTAGTATAGGGTTGTAGGGGTTGGCCGATTGTGGCAGATTCCGATCGTATGCCGTCTGCAAGGGCGGATAGTTTTGGCCATTATATGTTTGGTACCTGTAATCCTGGGCATTTGAAAGGGCGACCACAGTCAATACGAGAGAGATGGACAGGGCGTGACACTGAACAAATAACATAACAAATTTAGTTGTTTCGATCACCAGAGAAACACTACACAATCAGCGGACATCTGAACTACAATAGACCAATTTGAATATTATACACATAACGATCTCACGCAATTTAATAACTGTAACGGATAATCCGCTAACACGGAAAGGATCGTGAGAAAAATATATTAATTGCGGTTTTGTGAACGTTAAAAAAATCAAAACTCTTTCATATCCTGTATTTGTTATTGTCAGGCCCATTTGCGATTTGCCTTCTTCTTAACATTTTACGAGCCGGAGCAGCCAACAATTGGTTGATAGTATTGATACTATCACGTCGTTGTTCTGGTCACACTGATAAAACTACTGAAGAAACTATGAAGAATAATTTATTATTTTATTATTATTGAATTATTATTGACCTGCGGACCAGTATTACATTATTAAATAAATTTTATTCTGAGTGTTATTGTAAATTCTTGGCCACCAAAATTCTATTATGTCTATGACTTGTACAAATTATGATTATTTTTAATAAGAAAAAATACATAATATTATATATGTTTTATTTATGAAAACTAATGATGTAATAATATTTATTATAATACATGTTATACTTACCATTATATTCATATCATAAATATTATTATGTTATTTTATACACATAATTTTGTAGTTATTGGGTTTTATTTTTGGATGGTAATAACATTAATTCAATTAAGATTAACAATCTCAAAACAAATTTACATTTTAAATAATTAATATATATTATGTTATAAACTTTATATAAATTCAGAAAAAATATAAATCTTATTATTTTAATCTATTGTAACAAATTTTAAATTTTAAATGGAATATTATAAACAGTAATTATCATATTATACATTCAAATATAATATGGACATGGGCAGTAAACTGTTAAAATTTACACTGTACCAAAATAAATTAACAATATACAAAACAAAACAGAATTGAACAATGATATTATTCTAAATTTAAATGTTAGTTCCTAATCAGCAAATAACAAATATTTGTTCATTCTTCCATACTCAATTTGTATAGTTATGATAGGCTTCAGAGCAAACCAATTTGTTCCTTGAATGTCAGAACTTCAATTCCTTAATGGCTTGAGGGAGATCTGGAAGTTTCATATCCTTTAACTGTTGTGGTATATTCATATTTTTCATAGCAGACACAGCTCTAGATGGTGCACCAGCAAGACCCGCCTAAATAATATTGAAATTAGTTAAATACCGATAGTATTTTGAAGTAAAAACTATCAACAATTCTTAATTGATTAAAGTTGGTCATACTTCTTGTTTCTCCAATTTGTTTTGTTCTTCTATTCTTGAAAGTATTTCAGTCATATTAGTTTCTAGAACCATTCCACCCATTACTAGTTCATTTAAAATGTAATGAATCTATAAAAAAAATTGTTTAGTTTTTTAATAAACTAAATTAATTAAATCTATATTCACTAACTGATCAAGGGTCCTAAAGAATCAAATTATTATAACCTTAAATCTTGGTATAGATACCCAGTTTCAAAAAAAAAAAATTATGTTGTTAAATTTATAAATCTATTAATTTAAAACATCATAGCTAAGTTTTAAATTATTTTCACAACACAACAAAAAAATATATTGGAGGTTTATAGTGCATATTTGCATATTTAAAGATTTTGTGATCTTAGGAGCATATTTCTTAAATACTTGTATTGTCTCTATAGTTTATACTCTATTATACTGAGAATATTGTTGTATCTGGTACCATTATAAGCGATTTTGAGTGTATTTAAACTTAGAATGGGAAAAACATCAAATTCACTTCAACAAATATTAAAAAAATACTAAAACAACATTATAGAAAAGAAGAAAATGAAAAAACACTGTTTAAAATAATGAGGGTTGAGTTATAGACAGGGTTATTACAGATTTCATAAATTTTTTTACAGTATAAATAATTGTTAGTTAATCAATTATAATATTACCTTGTCGACGTGAAATATAAGATCCAGCTCACAAACGTTTTCAAAACATTTATCGAGTGTTTCAACAAACACTTGAATTAAATCAAGAATACCAAGTTCTGATTCTGACGAATCTACACAAAACACAAAATACAGTGTAGCATAATGACGATAAATCAGTTTGTAATCTGATCCTCCAATGAGACTGAAAATTAAAATTAAATATTCTTAGAATAAACCATAATGAAAATTGTAAATTGGTAATTTAATCATTAAACTTTAAAATTACCTTCCACCCTCAAGAAAGTTGCAAACATTGTCATCTCGTTTAGAAACCAACTGAAATGTTTCCTTTATAATTTGCTGTTGCATGTCTTCATTCTATTTTCAAATATTTTAATGATTGAAAAGTTATTATGCACTGAATATCTTATTTTTTAATTAGTTAAGTAGATACTTACAAAATATTGATAGAATTTAGAAAGTCTAGGCTTTCCGTAATTGTTAAAGACCAATATTGCTTTGATCATAATTGTTTCTTATTCTAAAAACTTTAAAGTGATATTTATGTTAATATTAATAAAATAATGGAACAAATTGGAACATGAACAAATTATTAAGAACTGTATTATCATTTTTTATTGAATAGGAAATGTTTTACTAAACATTTCATAATAACATTAAACAATCCAATTCTAATCAGAAAATCCAGACATTAAGTCAAATAAAATAAGTTCAGTTCAGAGGTCAGAATACTCGGATCTCGGTTCTGCTTATATACAGAAGTAAGAAAATACGAAATCCTAATGTGTCTGAAAAAAAATGGTAGGTACACCTATTACCTACGTTTTGTTATAATAAATATTATGTGAGTATCACCATGTATCACTTTGTGGGAGTATGTGACATGTGTTATCACTTATCTATATTTATCAATTGAAACAGTGTAACCACTTCTGTAAAATAAACATTTATAGTACAAGCATTTTGTATTTTAAAATTTATAGTAAATTTAATTTTTATTATTCAGTTATTCAGTCTGCAAACGCTCAAAAATACAAAAAGTTGAGCTGTTGAGCAATATAATAGATTTATATAATATTATATTTATAAATAGGTAAAAACATGATCAAAAAAATGTTGGCATAATTCTAGTTTAGCTCCCATGCGATTTTTGAATTTTTATGTTCTGAGCAGTGAGCCAAGCGATAAATATATTGTTTTTATAATGATATAATATTATGTTTTATTTTTTTTGTGAGTCTGTGCAGTGTGAAGGGCCGTATTTGGGTTTTATAAATCCTTATAAATCTCTCTATGTACACCCCCCCCCTCGGCCCCTATGGTTTCAGGTATATGTTAAATCGTGGCCGATAAAAAAAATTAATTTGACTAATTTCTTAAAAATTTAAACTTTTAATTTTTGCAAAAAAGAATTGTTATAATATTTATGTTTTATATTTTAGCATATTTCTGCATATTAATAAAACAAATGCATATTTCATCATTTTTTATTGCATATAAATCCTAGCCCTAATTAATAATTATGATACATCGATGTGAAGGCACAGCGTCTGTGTGTGTATTCTGCAGACATTTCACTACCTGCTCCACAAAATTAGGTACATTTGGATTTCAACGAGTATTTGTTGACTACATAACGCTCCTACTTTTAAATAATTTGCGGTTAGCGTCAACGACCTGCCATTTTCGATTTGCAAACTGTTGAGGACAGCCGACGAGAGTATGTTACCACAGTATATATAATATATAGATATAATCAGTACAATTTAAATAAGGCATGAACATGGCATACAATAATAATATGTTAATAACAAATAAATGGTATTGGTGGAATCAAAAACTTCACACATACAAAACATTAATATGATGGCTTGAGGCAAGTGGTGGACGTTGGCATAAAACTGTACGAAGCCGGACAAATAACGGCAATGACGGCGAACGTGCACTAACTGCCGCAAACAAACGGAGACGAAAAACTTCATTTTCGTACATTGACGAACTTGAACGAACTCGGACCAAAACGGACTAATTGTCCGACGATTTCAACGGGCGTCGCTGGTTCAAGCGGCGAACGGTGGTAACTGGTAACATATAGGCGGGATCACTGTGGCAGGGGATGAGGTCGAACTTTGTGGATATCATTCCAGGTCAACAAAACTCTGGCAGAAGCATATCCTGCGCGCAGCGTTGACCATGGATTTCCACATGAATCTCGTCGACCTCTTCCATAACGATCTGCGACGATCACGCCGTGCAGGATTTTGCTGAATTTCAGCTGCCGCCGGTGGAACAGACTTCACTGGTCCGTACACAGGCGAGTGAATGCTCAGCTCTGCGGAAGACCGGAAAATTACTGCATTTTCTAGCAGCGGCCGTAACTGCAGTGGCCATACAGTTGTAGCGATCCTGTGGTCCACGGCCAAGTCCAAAACGTCCATCATGGAAAGACCATAATGTTGCTGCAGGCATTTTAGAGTATCCGTTTGGTCGTCTGTATCCGCAGTCGTGAGAACAGGTGGCACTGGTGGTGAATCCATCTTTACTACTACCGGGTTGTTCACGGGCGAGTCAGTGGAGAGTTCTGGCGTCGACCGGAAACCCTCTGTAAGTCCACTACGCCGTAACGGAAACCCGTCAGTAGTGATCCTGCGATCCAAGGCCAAGTCCAAAGCGTCCATCATGGAAAGACCATGATGTTGCTGCAGGCATTTTAACGTATCCGTTTGGTCGTCTGTATCCGCAGTCGTGAGAACAGGTGGCGCTGTAGGTGAATCCATCTTTACTACCGAGTTGTTCACGGGCGAGTCAGTGGTGAGTTCTGGCGTCGACCGGAAACTCTCTGTAAGTCCGGGCCCTAACGGAAACCCGTCAGTAATGTTCTTGCGGACATCGGCCAAGTCCAAAGCGTCGATCAAGGAGCGACCCTCGTCGGCATAATCAGACGATTGTGTGCATCTAGAAGATCCCATATCTGTCGTGTATATACGAAGTTTGAACGGCAAACAGAAATTACAAACAGTTTTTTTACGAAATAATATATCTAGGACTGTCGCTAACGAGTGATAAACATGTAATGACGGATTTCAAATTATTATTATAACAGTCCTACAATATATAAACAATGGTTTTGTAGTTTCCCTAGTTTATATTGTGGCCAGCTATAGTACCTATGTAGGTAGCAATTAGATACAAATAGCAGTTACAATTAAATCATACCTTAACAATAATCATTTTGATGAATACAAATCTATATAGGTACGAATGTTCTTAAAATGATACCTATACTGGTTTTAGCGTAATCAGAATACTGAATATCATATCACATTGTAACATGATTTAGAAAAATCTTAACTATAAGTTTATAACTAGATCTTTTAGATTTAAGTTATATCTATTTAAAAAAAAAATTTCCGTAATCATACATCATAGACAAGTGTAAATTTTCGTTGATTAAATTAGTATAAAAGTATTACAATGCGAATAATATTTATAATACGCTAAATGTAATTTATTACAACTTCATTAGGGAATAATATCATTGTAACAAACACATAAATCTAAATAAAAAAAAATTATTTTATTTTATTGTAACTTAATTTGTATGTACTATTAAATAACCTAATGGCTAATGGATAGGGTGGTTGCCATTCGTCCCGGTTTTAACGACATGTCCTGTTGTGAGAAAATAACTTTAATAGGTACTTTTTTGTTCATTAATTAACCCAGGGCAATTTAGGCTATTGCTTTGGTTTTTAACTGACAACTGTGGAGGAGGGTACTGTAGGTTTTGTAAACACGTGTGTTTCAGTTTGGCAGAATTTTCAAGTGGGCATCCGTAGGTATCTGCCATGCTTGGGACCACCGTGACTGCCCGAAGGGATGTGCCGGCCGGGGCCGAGGTTCGAACCGGCGACGGTGCGAGTCGCAACCGACGCCTTAGTCCACTCGGCCACTCCGTCCCCCACTTTAATACTATATTATTTAATAATAACATATAGAATAATATTGTATACTGGATCATTATACGATTATCTTATTAAGTTAGGGGAAGGATGAATGAACATACTGAACGAGGCATAATGGTGTGTAGAATTAATTTTGATTTAACTAGTAAGGAATTTTATGTAAAAATAAAAATATTATAATTCTATTGAAAGAAACTCATTCAAACGAAAAGCATCGATATTAGTAAATAGTAATAACTAATAAGTAGTAGTAAGTAATTACAATAGTAGAAGTAGTAAGTAATTACAATAGTAGTAGTAAGTAATTACAATAGTAGTAGTATAACTAGCAACTAGCAAGTAAAAAAATGTATTAGCTAATAGATATTTAAATAAAAAAAGCGGGCAAGTAGATGTAGCTCTGCTGTACAGAGTAGATTACAAGACGTGTTCACTGTAATGCATGGTATTTAATTTGAATTCAATGGTATAATATCACTGTATACGAAAAACAATTCTTGAGAGACGGTTTGTCAGTCAATGATATTTTGTATTATATTTACATTGTTATTACTTATTAGTAATAACAATAATAACTAATTACTTATTGGTTATTATTAATATTTAATACGGTAGCCAGTAAGTTGAATTAATATTATACAATTACAAAAAAATAACTAAAATCGTTAGGTACTCTTGGTTATTTAGTTTACATGGTAGACGGAAAAAAAAACCAAGGAAAAAAAAACCAAGGAAAAAAAAACCAAAAAAAAAAACCAAAAAATAAAAAACCAAAGGAAAAAAAAACCACGGAAATAAAAACCAAAAGAAAAAAAAACCATGAAAATAAAAACCAAATTTTTATATTTTGCTATATTAATTCATATTTCATTAAACTTAAGTTTTAATTGTCTACTTAAAAATTTTGATCAATAATCCAACTGCCCAAGTGTTCTACCTGTTAAATATATATTAATAATAATAATTATAATAATAATAATTTCAAATAGGTTAAACTGTTTAAAAAATTTTACATTTTATAATTTTTAAATACGTTTTAAAAATTTGTCCAATACAATAATAAAAGTAATAATTTAAAATAAGTTTCACGTTTTAAAAATTGTCAATACAAACATAAATCAGTCAAATACATAGTCAATACAAACAGTCTACAGTCAAATAAAGTAAAAATAATTAAAAAAAATTAACATTTTATAGATTTTAAATACTTTTTAAAAATTTGTCACAATACAATAATATAAGTAATAATTTAAAATAAGTTTCACGTTTTAAAAATTGTCAATACAAACATAAGTCAGTCAAATACATTATAATACATAGTCAATACTAACAGTCTACAGTCAAATAAAGTAAAAATAATAAAATAATAAAAAAAAATTAACATTTTATAAAATATATAAAAAGACTGTAATTTCGGGGGGCAGGCTGCCCACTAGGCCTACCCCCAATATACGCCACTGACGATAGTGTTCAACAGATGGAACACCTGGGCAGTTGGATTATTGATCAAAATTTTTAATTAGAAAATTAAAACTTATGTTTAATGAAATATGAATTAATATAGCAAAATATAAAAATTTGGTTTTTATTTTCATGGTTTTTTTTTCTTTTGGTTTTTATTTCCGTGGTCTTTTTTTCCTTTGGTTTTTTATTTTTTGGTTTTTTTTTTTGGTTTTTTTTTCCTTGGTTTTTTTTCCGTGATTCAGTTTACATATATGCAATTTCATCCAAATTTGAACATAAAATAACTAAAAGAAACTGCGTTTTTATATTTTTTACATTTTTTCGTTACACAATAACCTACTTTTGTGGAAGTCACCTAGAACCGGCGATTATGATGTTGCAGGTCATGTGGGACCAGCTTTAAAATGTAACTATTATAGCGATAACTAAATCGCAACGGCGACATGCTAAAAACCATTATACTGTCACTAATGTCAATATTGTCCGTGTTCTAAAAATATCAGGTGGGGAAATGACTGATATCGATAAAATGGTTGATTGGAAAATGTCATAGCTATCACATAATATGTTTATCGTAATATTTGGAAGATAGGGAATGTCTATAGTTAAATATATGAAATATTTCAATCGAACATTAATTAAACGTTCATAACAATAGGTCAAAACACAATACATATAGGTACTTGTCCGTATAACCATTCTCTAATATATATCGTATTTAAGGGGATTGGAAGAGGTGGTTTTCTGCCTTTGTCTAACACACGTGGAACATAGAAATTAAGACTTTTTTTCATTCCAACGTAGGTACCGTTTGATCTAGTAAAGCGATAAGAAAATGAATGTGCTTAATATTAAAATTATGGCAACTCATTATTTTTTTTTTTTTGGTATAGGTACTAATTTTGTTTAGAAATATTTCCAGCCCACTGAAAAATACATGTTGTGTAGTAAAGTATTTGTTTTCCAGGAAACAACAGGCCTAGGAGGATGCTACAGTACCTACCCTACTACCCTAGCACCCCTCCCTCTGGATCCAAGTATGCTAGCTATGTGCCTATGTCGTACTGGATTTCCACTGTATATTTAAAAATTATGAATTATAAATAATAATTTTTAGTTTCGAACTTTTTGTCCACAATTTGGAGTCTACCAAAAGCTTTTTGATTGATTTCCGTACCTACCTATAGCTTATTTTATATAAATAAGCAACTATAGGTTTGTGTTCAAATTAACCAAAAAGTGGTTTATCATTTCTCACCTACCGAAATCATATGTATGATTAAAACACGAAAAATAGTTGAAAACGAATTAAAAATAGAAAGAAAAAATCCAATACCTATATGTTTAATATAGGTACCTAATAAAGACATAAATACAATCTAGTAGGTACCTATAACTACCTAAGTTGTTTTGGATAAAGAGCACACTGTTTTAAACAAATGTTTTCTCTTATTCGTTGATTACCATCTAAATATTAAAATATGTAATATGTTATAATATATATAAATTTACCAGCTGTACATTTTAATTTGTACCAAATTTCTCAAACATTCGGCGTAGAAGTCTGCATAAGTCACGATATAATGCGCAGTAAAAATAATTGTAAATTGTAATTATTAAATAGTTAACATAATATATTATATTCTCCCAGAACACGAAACATTAAATCGTGTTATATTAAATTATCTCGATTTAACGGATGCACGCGTAGTATAGGTACAATGGGTAGCTTCTAATACCTATATAATTCATTATTATTACTTATTAGTTATTAGCTTTAAACGACACAATGTCTTCGAATAACTATTAACTAAATAATGTATTTTTATTAAATAGCTATTTAATGATGTACAGTATTCCGAATTATCAGGCTTCCGGTCTCGTCAAAATACAATTCAAACAGTAATGTGCAAATCGTATTGTTAGGTAGTAGCCGCAGCAACAGTATTATAGGTAGGTCCTATGTATTATGCTACCTTCTTAAATGAATAAATGCCATATTATTGTGAGCGCCTTTTTAGATCGTTAAAGGGCAACGGTATACAAATACTAACAATTACACTGCTCCGATGGTAAATGGACACGGAAATGCTAACTGTCCAAATAATATCTCTCACGGCTCACACATGCGAATACATTATATAGGTAAACAGGATCCACAAGTGGGTTTGAGGAGGGGCGACGTTAAAGCGAGAAAAGCTATTAGTTTCTCATTAGCGTAAACATTTTGCAGTACAATAATATAATATAATTGTAATTATATTATTTCCTGTGCGATGTGTCCATTATAATACGGGTCTTCTGTTGGTGCTCTGCTGCTTGCTCATCGGGGGTAGCTCCAGTCCGACGATCTAATATTATTATTGTTACCTAGACATCGGTCGTGTGCAGTACGCTGGACGGTTATTCGTTTCCCACCGAATTTTCTTACGACGGTAATTTCACCGACAGACGTTTTTTTCTGCCTACATTTTTTATTTTCACTCCGCGAATCTGGTCGTGATAAATTGTACGTTTTTTATTTTTAACTCGATAATTAT